TCTGTTGGGTCACCTTTCTTTGGGATAGGAACAAATATAGATCTCTTCCAAGATAGCATGGTGAAAAACAAATTAAAAAAAAAAGATAGCATGGTGTTGATACAGCTATAGATATATAGATCAATAGAATAGAATTGAAAACCCAGAAATCATCTTGTCTATCTATGGTCAGCTGATTTTTTTGACATGGAGACAAACTCAATTAAGTAGAGAAACAAGAGTCTCTCTTGACAAATGGTGTTGGCAAAATTGGAAAACTATCTGTAGTAAATTCAAAGAAGACCCAGACCTCATATCATACACAAAATGTAACTCAAAGTGGATCAGGAGCCCAGGAGGAAAACCAAAGACTATAAAATTTATAAGAGAAAAGCTACAGACAACTCTAGGAGCCCTAATCTACAACCTGAACAGACTTCTAAGCATAGTATAAAACCTACATCTAAGAGAGAATAAAATAGCTGAATGGATCTTCTAAGAATCAAATAAAAAGCTTATCTGACAGGGTAAAAAGGAAACTCACGGATTTGGAAAAAAATATTTGGCAGTGACACATCTGATAAGGAACTCATATAAAATTTATAGAATATTCCACCATCTCAACAATAAAAAGGTAAACAGCCAACCACAAATGGATACAAGATATGAATAGACACTTCACTAAAGAAGAAATTCAGATTGCCAATAAACATATGAAGAAGTGTTCGAAATTCTTAGCTATCAAAGAGATACAAATCAAAACAACTATGAGGTATTATCCCAGCAACAACAGCAAAGTTCAACAGGGTACCAAATAACAAATCCTGGTGAGGTTGTGGAGAGATTGAAACTCTTATTCACTGCTAGTAAGAATGTAAAATGATGCAACCATTGTTGAAGATGGTCTGGCACCTTCTTAAATAGTCGGAAATAGAAATACTATTTGACCCAGCAATTCCACTACTGGGAATATACTCCAAAGAAACCAGAGACACAACTCAAATAGATGTATGCGCAGACATGCTTTTTGCTGGGTTATTCACAATAGTAAAGAGATGGAAGCAGCCCAACTGTCCATTAACAAACAAAGGGAGAGAAAAACTGTCGTACATTAACACAATGGAATATTACATAGCACTGAAAAATAATGAACTCATAAAACACTACACAGCATGGGTGAGCATGGAAGATATGCTGAGTGAAATATGTCAGTCACAAAAGGACAGATACTGCATAACTCCACTGTTATAAAATACAAGTGACATGAGGAGTTGGAAGGAGAATAAAAAGCGTAGTTAATGAACACTGCATTGAGACAGATGAGGGGAAGAACTGTCTGAAAGGAATGTATGATTAGGCATTGCATGATGTATGACAACAAGGAGTGTATTATGAAGTGGAATGGGGGGGAGAAGAGAGAGTGAAGAAAAATGTGTAACAATGCATAAAAGAAATCCCAACCTTTCTGTAAACTTTTGTTAAAATCACAATTTTAAAAAAAGATGGGGGAAATATTGCATCTCTTGAAAACACAGTTGAGCACACTTAACTTGATGTTCATAGAACTGTACGGTGACAATGCAATTGACTGTGTATTTTATCATAAATATATATATATTTTAAAATAAGTTATGTATTATGATGTACTATGTATATATTATTTAAAAACACAAAAATAAATTTTAAAGTACCAATATAAAAAAACCCCATCTTTCAACTATGAGATATCATCTCACCCCAATAAGAATAGCAAAATTTAATGGAACAGCAAACATCAAATGCTGGTGAGGTTGTGGAGAAACCGGAACCCTTATTTACTGTTGGTAGGAGTGTAAAATGATGCAACCACTATGGAAGGCTGTATGGCGCTTTCTCAAAAAGTTGCAAATAGAAATACCATTTGACCCAGCAATTCCACTACTGGGAATTTCCCCTAAAGAAACCATAACTGCCACCAAACAGATATTGCATACCCATGTTTACTGTGGCTTTGTTCACAATAGCAAAGAGCTAGAAACACCCAAGTGCCCATCAACAAACGAATAGATAGAGAAGCTGTGGTATATTCACACAATGGAATACTATGCAGCATTGAAAACCAGGAACTAATGAAATATTATACAAAATGGATGACCCTGGAGGACATTGTGTTGAGTGAAATTTCACAGTCACAAAAGGACAAATATTGCATAGTGCCACTGTTGTAAAAAGGGACTGACATCAGGGTTGAGGGAAGATAGAAAAGGAGGGGAGGAATGATGTATACTGCATTGAAACAGATGAGGGAGAGAACTGTTTAAAAGGGATATGTGATTAGGTCTTATTGTCATGACAGGAGTCCAGAGTGAAGGCTGCACAGTGGAGTGGACCTGGGGGGAGGGATTGCCTAATAAGGAAAAAGTTTTTCTTTTACTTTTCAAGGAGAAGAGTGAATTTGTGGGAAGGGGGTGGGGAGGGAGAAAAGTACAACAATGAATGACTGGAAACCATAAGTCTGTAAACTTTCATTAGAATTAATTTTAAAAAATACAAAACAAACAAAAAAAACCCCACCTTTCAATACCAGGAACAGGAAATAGGCTCATCCAGCTTGCAGCTCTGTGTGGCTCTTGGAGACCCCAGGCAGTCCAAGATGGAGACAGGACAGTGGTCCCTCAGCTCCTCAGTCCTCAGCTTGGTGGTGGCTCAGCGCCTCTGGGCTAACCCTAACCCTAACCCTAACCCTAACCCTGGATGGGCACTGGCCTGGCCCCTCACCCGCTTTTCTTCTCTTGGTAAATGTTGGCATAGGGAGAGGGAACATGACGACAGGGCTGGTTTGTGTGAGCCCATGGGCATTAAAGTCTGACCTTCCCCTCTTTTACTCAGGTTTAGGGGGTGCATTCTGCCAATCCCTACAAACACACCCTCACTGACTCATGCTGGTTGCCATGGGGACTTTGCCATGGTGATGACTGCTTGGAAGAAGAGGGAGGAGTAACTGGACGGCCACAGCTTTGCCCATGGCTGTCTCTACATCAGCCCTGATGCCACTGGTCCACAGGAGCCTAGCAGGATCTGAGCTGAGGGTGTGACACTTCTGCCCTGTTAAGGGTTCTTTGGATTACCTGGTCTGACTTGTAGAAAGAATCAGAGTTTGTGCCTGAGAATGTTCCACCAGATGCTGGGTCCTGGGCTGGGCTCCCGTGCAGAGGACTTCCGCAGCCCACAGTCCTCAGCAAGAACTCTAGCTGCTCTAGCTCTCAGCCCTGGCATCGTGTGGTCCAGAGTTGTGGGACAGTTCGTGTTCTCAGCCAACACTGAGCTTTGTCTTCCCTGAAGTGAGCGATCTGTCTTCTTTCCCCTACTTTTGGGGTTGGTGGTTTCTAAGGCTCCTTTTTCAATCCTTCCACCTTCCATTATAAAACCAGGCACAAGTCGTTTAAATTCTCTCAGCTTCACTTTCCTGCCCTGCAAAATTTACTGAATGAACACATAGGTCTAGTAAAGAACACATAGAACTCTAGCGGCCTCATTGGTAAGGAGTTGTGCTGCCAACTTCAAGGCAGTCAGTTTGAATCCACCAGCTGTTCCATGGGAGAAAAATAGACAGTCTTCTCCCATGTGATTTACAGCCTCTGAAAACCTACAGGAGGATCAGCTAGGAGTTAGTTCCGACCCAATGACAGTGAGGTTTAGAGTGCGTCATGAGTTTATGGTGAAGAATATATAAACTTAGTTATGCGAAGTATTTTCAACACAGCTCTGCTATATGCATTCATAAATGTTAACAATTCTTGTTTTGGGTGGTGTTGATATTATCATTGCTACTGAAGCTGGCCTTGTCCTCTTGGGCCTCTTAAGCACGCCCCCTTCTCCTTCAAATGAAGGGTCTGGAGGGGGGTGGGGGAGTGGAAGCTTGGCAGGTATGTGAGGACAGTCAACTCCGTTTAACCCTGTGCTCTTTCTACCCTGCACAGGATCCGGCCCCAACTTTCAAAAGAGAAGATTGAGGGCTGTCACATCTGCACGTCCGTCACCCCAGGGGAACCCCAAGTCCTGCTTGGGAAGGACAAGGCATTCACCTACGACTTCGTCTTCGACTTGGACACCTGGCAGGAACAGATCTATTCAACCTGTGTGAACAAGCTCATTGAGGGCTGCTTTGAGGGCTACAATGCTACTGTCCTGGCCTACGGGCAGGTAAGGACCCCTTCCCCACCACTGGCCCCTCCACACCTGGTCTGTCCCCACCTGATGAGGGAGGCAATTCCAACTTCAGAGCAGCCTGGGCCCTGTTGCACAGATCTATCTTGGTCATCTTTCAGAGGATGTGACTGGAAAGGTCTGTCTGGGTGGGGACCTCAGGGTTCAGGACATAGATGAGTGAGGGGATTCCATCCCAGGTCCAGGGCTCACTGGTGCCCCAGGGAGTGCTGGGTAACACCCTCCTTGTATTCCTGTTCAGACAGGGGCTGGGAAGACGTATACTATGGGCACCGGCTTTGACATGGCAACGTCAGAGGACGAGCAGGGAATTATCCCAAGAGCCATCGCACATCTCTTTTCTGGCATCGCCGAACGCAAGAAGCGGGCACAGGAGCAGGGCATGACTGGGCCCGAGTTCAAAGTTAGCGCACAGTTCCTGGAGGTACTGGGGCCTTGTGGGGTGGCAGGAGGGAGACATGGGGGATAAGATCGTGGAATCTAGGGCCTGCGTCTCTGAGTGGAGCTCAGGGACCCTGGGTGAGAGTAGCGGGGGAGGCAACTCTCAGGCCCCTTTGCTCTGCAGATAGATGCTTCTGGGCCCAGGATGAGCACTGGCTCGGCCCCGCTCTAGGGCAGTGGAATGCCTCGGAAACCACAACTTACCTATAGGTGATGAGTTCCCCACCACTGGAGGCATCCAAGCAGGGCTAGAAGATCTCATAATGGCCCACTCATGGGATGAGGCTTAAATCAGTGGCCTGTATGGTTATCTTCATACCCTGAGTGAGTCTTGGATTCTCAGCTCTAACATATACAAACTCTTGCCTTGCCTGCACACCAGGGTTGGTCATATCTGTTTCCTTTGGGCTTTTGTAGAGCTTACATCGAATCGGGGTCAGTGTACAGTGAGACTCTGGTTCTCACCCACCCTTCCTCTGACCTTTGCTGAATACTTCCTCAGAGCTGCTTGTCCTTTCTGGCTAGGGCACTTCCTGGCCCTTTGAGTCTTCTCTGACCCCAGGCAGAGATTCTCCAGATGGGCTTTTCTCTGTAGCTGGCCCTGCCCATCTCTGGGAGGATGCCAGGGGCTAAGGCAACCAGAGTCTTGGGGTAGGGGACAAAATCCCCAGGCTTTTTGACTTTGGGGCCTGTGCTGAGCCCTAGCTCAGTAAACTCGAAGGCAGAAGCTTGTTCTTAAAGGGACCCTTTTAGACGGGCTTCTTGGAAGGCAGGGGGTGCTCAGAATGTGTCCCTCAAGACCCTCCCTTGACCAGGCTCTCAGCATCTACAATTCCAGCCCAAAGACCTTCTCTAAGGGCATTTACTAAGTTTGAGGTTATGCTTGGCCCTCATTCTCTAAGCTTTGTTGCTGGGATAGACCCAGCTTATCTCTTGCCTGTCTCTGAATGGGATATAGTTTCAGTCTCTTTCAGATTACCCCTCTCCACTCCCTCCCTCCCAACTACCCCACAATTATTTTCTCTTGGCATGTTTAGACTCAAGAGTCTTCCTTTATCCTTGTGGACTTTTGCTTCTGATAAACTGAAGGCCAGAGTGTATGTATGTGCGCACTCACACACGTAAATGTATGCATGCATGCACATATGTGTGTTTAACTGCTTTGCTCATCTTTTTTAGTCTATTCCTTCTCTATCCTATTACCATGGAGATCTCCAAAGGGCAAGCCAGTTTCTAGGACATCTGTGGTAAAGGGCAAACATAAAGGGTTAAATGATGCCATGTGTCTGACCCAACACAGTCAGACAGACGCTATGGCACCCACGCCGGCCCCAGGCCCTTCCTTTTCCTCTTCCCCTTCCTGCGGGATATTTCTGTCCCTTTAAGGCCATCAAAGCCTCGGATGTCCGAGGGCAACAGTGCCCCCACCCCAGGATCTTGGTCCCAGGATTCTGGCAGCTGCCCCAGCTCGCCCCATCCCTTTTCCCCCTTCCTAGCCAGAGCTCGCTTCTGGTGAACAGTCCAAGCATCCAGTAGATGAAACTTTGCTTACTAGTGAAGCCAAAAGCAAGAATCTCTCCAGCTGAGGTCATCTGAAACAAGGTGATTTCCTGGCCAGGCCACCTCCCTGCATGGGCTCACCAGCTTCTCACAGGAGGCTGGACCACATGGCACAAGTGAGCTCCCTTTCCCTCTGGACACAAGACAAGGCACACAGACGTGCTCCTTTCACAAGCAGGATGTTGTTGTATGTACTATCCCAGGACTCGATCTGATCAGGTCACTGCGCTTTGCCCAGCCAAGTGCAGCGAAGGCAGCTCTTACCTGGCACCACTGCGTCATGTTGTTACAGCATACTATGGGGTTGGAACCGAGCCATAGCTCACCCTCCAGCAGGTTTTCAGAGACAGTTAATCACATGGGAGGAGGTTGCCCATCCTTCTCCCATGGAGCAGCCGCTTGTGGGTTTGGCCATGTCATTTGCCTTTGGATTGGCAGCAAAATGCCTTACTATTAAGCCACTGCCTTTGCTTCATTCATCTAGAGCAGGCCTTCATCCCTCTGCCCCAGCATGGTAAGACAATACAATGAAAACTTAATTACCATCTAGTCAGAACCAACTTATAGCTCACCCTCCACTGGGTTTCTGAGGCTATAAATAATCCATCTTTTTCCTGTGGAGCTGCTGGTGAATTAAGACCACCAGAAAGGCACAATTTTGGGATGAGCAACACAGCTCCCTGGGTACTACATAACCAGAGCTCCTGCTCGAGTCACAGCCATAACTTCATCTCCTTTGTCTAGGAACTGACTCTTTGTCCCTGTGGGTCCTTACCTTTCACTTAGAGACTCTGACTTCTGAGTCTGTCGGGGAGCTGTATGTGGGTTCAGGGCTTGGCTATGCTCTCACCTTTGCAAGAGAAAGATCATGACATTGAGAAGCCAGGGCTTTGCAACTGTTAACGGGGAGGATTATAAAGAATATATAACAATATATCAACACATTGTAATGTGTTTTTTTGGTTTTTTTAAAATTTTTTTTTCTGTTTTTTTTTTCTATATTTTATTAATTTTCATAAACATTTACAGAGATTTTGGGTTTCCATTCATTCATTGTTGCACTATTCTCTCTACCCTCCTCCCAGTTTGTTCTTGTCCAAATGCCACAGTGCTTGTCAAAGCCAGTTCTGATTAATCTTCTTTGTCAGTGCGTCCTTTGCCATTCCCTATCACTCCTCCCTGAGAGAGACTTCACCCTGAGTCATAAGGAAAAGGGGACGGCGTATTCTCTTAGCTACTTCCTGCTGAAAAGGGACGCTGTGGGTTTCAGGGTGAAGATCTTCTCTCACTACTCTAAAGGGCCCCTTTGGCAGTAGGAAACACACAGACTATTATGGAGATTGATTTTGGAATTTAGATGCACTCTTATTGATTGTGCTTGGCTGTACATGTTCATATCCTTGAAGATGTATCATGGGGGTGTTGCAACCTAGAAGACACAAATTTGACTAACAAGTTATAAGTACATGAGTCCAGAAATTATGGAAAAGTAAAAGAAAAGATTCTTTCATTGTTTTACAAACCCTCCCCCAGGTCCCCTCCACCATGTAGCCCTCGCTCTAGTCTCCTGTGATGACAGAAATACCTAGTTATATATCTCTTTTAAACAGTTTTCTCCCTCCTGTTTCAGTGCAGTATACATTATTGAACCCATCTTACTCAGTCTCTCCCCAACCCCAAGGACAGTCCCATAACACATTGTAATGTTAAACTTGCTGGTATTAGATATGGAATGGAAGTCCCTAGGTGCCACAAATGGTTAAGCACTTGACCACTAACCAAAAGGTTGGTAGTTCAAACCCACTCAGAGATACCTCAGAAGACACAGGTGGAGATCTGCTTCTGAGGGGTCACATCTTTGAAAATTCTACAGTGTAGTTGTCTTCTGCACATATAGAGTTGCTGTGCGTTGGAATCAACTTCGCAGCAACTAAAATCAATAATATATATGGAATTGTTATGTACAGTAGAATCGGAACCAACTAGTAGACCATCTAGTGGGTTTTCAGAGGTTGTAAATCACACGGGAGGAGATCATTCATCTTTTTTGCCTCAGAGCAGCTGGCAGATTTGAATCATAAGTCTTTGGGGCAGCAGTGCAACTCATCACTCCAGAACTCTCTCTTGGAAAGAATTTAGAAATAGACATAGATATAATGTATCTTGCTACCAGTAGTCAGGGAATAAAGAGACACATTGCACTAGGAAAATCTGCAGTTAGGGACCTCTCCAAATTATTGAGGAGTAGTAATGTCAGTTTGAGGACTAAGGTGCATCTGATTCAGGCCGTGGTCTTTTCAGTTAATTACTGTGCATCTGAGAGCTGGACAATGAATAAGGATGACAGAAAAAGAATTGATGCCTTTGAGCTGTGGTGTTGGAGAAGAGCACTGAACGTCCCATGGACGGCCAAGAGAACAGATATGTCTTGGAGAGGGTGCAGCCAGAGTGCTCTTTGGAGGCAAGAATGATGAGTCTTCACCTCACATGATTTGAGCATGTTGCTAAGAGAGGCTATTCCTTGAAGAAGGACATGATGCTGGGAAGGGTGGAGGGTTGGCTAAGGAGAGGAAGACCCTCAACTAGATGGATTGATACAGTGACAGCTGCAGTGTGTGTGTGTGTGTGTGTGTGTGTGTGTGTGTGTGTGTGCACGTGTACCTGGTGGCTTAGTGGTAAGAAACTGTGCTGCCATTCCAAAGGTACGCTGCTCCACAGGAGGATGGGCAATCCTGTCCTGTGTGATTAACTGTCTCTGAACTCAACGGTACACAACAACATACTCTGTGTGTGTGATTATCTCCAAGTAATATTGTTAAATGGACAAAAGCAAGGTGCAAAAATAACATACACTAGACTACAAGTTTTTGTTTTATTTTTAAAAAAAAGTATTTAAAAAAAATAAAAAACAAACGCACAAAAAAGCCAGAGGGGCCCTGGCTGGTTGAGCTGACCTCAGAGCCTCAGTTTGCACGTCTGTAAAGTGGCCGTGGTTGTGAGCACTTTTACGCATGAGAAAGCTCCTGCCATGCGTGCTCCGAGCTGCACAGGCAAGCTGCACAGGCACAGCCGCTGTCTCCTCCCGGACACAGCTCTACAACGAGGAGATCCTCGACCTGTTTGACAGCACCCGCGATCCTGATGCCCGCCACCGTAGGTCCAACATCAAGATCCATGAAGACGCCAATGGCAGCATCTACACTACGGGCGTCACTTCCCGCCTCATCAATTCCCAAGAAGAGGTGAGCAAACACCCCCCCCCCAACCCCTCAGGGCAGGTGTGGGGCATTCTGGGAAGTGCAGGTGTGCACTCCCAGAAGTGTGATTACACGTGCACCACTCCTGCCTCCGCAGCTGATCCAGTGCCTGAAGCAGGGGGCGCTGTCGCGCACCACGGCCAGCACCCAGATGAATGTGCAGAGCTCGCGCTCCCACGCCATCTTCACCATCCACCTGTGCCAGATGCGGTTGTGCTCCCAGCCCGACTTGGTGAGCCACCTGAGCCACTGCAAGTGGGCGGGGGCGGGGACGCCCCAGGAGGGCAAGACAAGGAGACTTGGATACAGAATTGGGAACCCGAGTTAGGGGACTAGATCTGCTGCTTGTTGGCTTTGCTTTTCTTTTTAAACCTCAGTTCTCATCTCAGGCTTCTTATACCGCAAACCACTCACTGCTGTCAGGTTGATTCCAACTCAAGGCGACTCTATAGGACAGAGTAGAGCTACCCCACAGGGTTTCCAAAGCTGGGGTTATATTGCTGTTAATAGGTTTCTCTGTAGAAGGGCTAATGGATTCCAACCACTGGCCATCCGCTCAGCAGCAAAAGACCTAATCACTGCTCTCCTTACATCTAGACAGAGTAATGATCCCCCTTTGTAGGAGGATTGAGAATCAGTACCTCCAGGTTTCCGTGATTAGAAACACATTTTGCCGTCATTTGTGGCAACGTGTTAAACTGACAAAAGTTGACTCCCAGTCCTGAGTCTCACTGGACAGTGATACTGTCGGCAATGGGCTGTGGGCAGAGGAGCATTGAGATGGGACGCGGGCTGGGGACTGAGCTACCACCTTCTGCTGCAGGTGAATGAGGCAGTTGCTGGACTTCCTGAGGGCACAGCTCCTGCCAACGAGTATGAGACCCTCACTGCTAAGTTTCACTTTGTGGACCTGGCTGGCTCTGAACGGCTGAAGCGGACTGGAGCAACCGGCGAGCGGGCCAAGGAAGGAATCTCTATCAACTGTGGCCTGGTAGGCATTTGGCATCACCAGTCCCAGCAGCCAAAACAGCTCAGTCTCAGACTCTCCCAAGGCCCAGTGACTCACAGTTTGACTTCTTGTCAGCTGCTGGCCAGGGCACCCACGTACCATACCAGTGGGCTTCTGACCCTTCTTTCTCAATCCTCACCACCGCCCCCTCTTCCTGACTTCACCAAGCTCCTCTCGTCTTCCTGTAATTGCTCCCCAGGAGCCTGAGGGCTGCTAAGGTCAGCAGGGCAGTTACAGACTCCTTATGAGCTGTCTTGTCTCTGTCTCGACAGCTGGCTCTGGGCAACGTGATCAGTGCCTTGGGGGACCAGAGCAAGAAGGTGGTGCACGTGCCCTACAGGGACTCCAAGCTCACCCGGCTCCTCCAGGACTCGCTGGGGGGCAACAGGTACCCGAAGGGCACAGGGGAGGAGGGAGAGATAGGAATCCGAGGTGAAGGTTTGGAGCGTAAAGGCTTCACAAAGGTAGAGGCAGCAGGTGTGGTAGGAGGGAAGCTTGAGGTGCTCCAAGACCTTTGCCACCTGCAGTCAGACTCAGTGTCCTCATCTGCACAGCTGAGAGAGAGAAAGCTAAGCTAAAGGAAATGGTATTCCTCCCGTGAAATCAAACATCTAAATGCTAGGAAAATTCCAGACTGAAAAATCTCTGTCATTGGGCAGATGGTTCTTTTGATTCTTCATTACCATGTGGTTGGTCTTGTTAGCTATAGTTACTGTAGGAATATACCCACTAGAGAGGGAGTTGAACCCTTGGCTATGCACCCCAGACCCCCATTGTCCAGATTCAGCCATTGTAAATCAGGGCTGGGGAGCAGAAACTCTGAGGCAGTGTCTCTGGGAACTGGCTGGGCCCACTCTCCCCTCACTTCTCCTTGGCTGCACCCCCAGCCAGACCATCATGATCGCCTGCGTGAGCCCCTCAGACCGGGACTTCATGGAGACACTCAATACACTGAAATATGCCAACCGGGCCCGCAACATCAAGAACAAGGTGGTGGTGAACCAGGACAAGACCAGCCAGCAGATCAGCGCACTGCGGGCAGAGATTGCACGCTTGCAGATGGAGCTGATGGAGTACAAGGCGGTGAGCATGCCCCCGGACACCAGAGACCCGGTGTACAGGCAGGGCAGCACTGCCCAGTCCACACCCATCTGCAGGTTCACCCTTAATTCTCCTGGATCCTTCCCACCATTCATTCAACATCCACCAAAAACAATAATATGCCAGCTGTGAGCTATTAGTGGGAGCTCACCCAGGGGAACCCAGCACAGTCTGAACCTCTCTGCCTGAGAGCAAAAAGAACAGCTCACCTTTTGTTGCATAGATTTTGTGCACACGACACTGTGCTGGGTATTTCCATGTCTGCCTGAATATATTTGTGCTGGAACAGATGAGACTCCTAAATTGTGGTACAGAACAGCTGACAGAGTTGTGGGGTACAGGGTGGGGGCACATGTGGAATAGCAGGAGCGGAGGAGCAAATTGCCCCTTCTCACTTGTTTGCTCAGGGAAGACCTTTTGGAGGAGGGGGCGTTTTATCTGGAATTTGAAGAATACCTGCAAAAGAATGTGCCACAGATATTATAGGTTGAGAACATAGCATGCCCAAAGGAACAGAGATGCAAAAAGGGGGTACATTGGGGGATGTTCCCAATTCCATGTGACTTGGGAAGAAATCACTGACTGGTGGCAGGAATCTAAAACACAAATAGGTTTGGTTTGACTTCATACTGTTTGAAACAAGGCAGGTTAGCTGCTCATCTTTCTGAGTATCAAAATCAAACTGTTTTCCTTGAAGAATTAGAAAATATAACATTATTTAGCACTCAGATGGACCTTTGGAGACAGAATCTGTGCCCCAGTTAGCTCCAGTCTTCACCACTCCCTATTGTAGCAAATTCATACATTTATGTTGACTGGCCAGCCCCAGTAACCTTTGGCCTTTGGGCCGGCACTTATGATGATAAGAAGGTGAAACCATGGAAGGACAGGGTGGGCCTCAAGTGGCTGGTTACAGAACCTGGGCTGATTTATTGTTAGTGTGGAGCCATGTAAATGTTTGAACATTGAAAGAGAGGAGCTGTGTTTTAGGGGCACTAAGACCGGAAGACTAACAGCATTGCCATCTGGGAAAGTCCAGGGCAATGGCATAGCAAAGAGTATAGTCCCTTCGCATCCCTCCCTGTGGACTCTGGTGCCTAAGTGCTCCCCAAACACTCTCCTCACAGGGCAAGCGGGTGATTGGGGAGGACGGTGCTGAAGCCTACAGCGACCTGTTCCGGGAGAACGCCATGCTGCAGAAGGAGAACGGGGCACTGCGGCTGCGGGTAAAGGCGATGCAGGAAGCCATCGATGCCATCAACAACCGTGTCACCCAACTCATGAGCCAGGAGGCCAACCTGCTGCTGGCCAAGGCCGGTAAGTCAGGAGGGTACACCCACCCCAGAATACTGGGCCGCCTGGGTCAGCCAATCCATTTCATCATTTGTGCTTTTCTTCAAAATTGTATTTTAAAACATTTTTGCGTGGCACAGGTGATAATTTCACTTTGTTTAATATGCAAATGATATATATCGGTATAGAAGGTAAAAAGTAAAAATCCCCTCTTGCCAAACTCTTCACTCCATCCCTCCAGTATATTCATGGACAGCTTGAATCACATTTTCCACATGATTCTCACTACATTTGATCTTAGAATGAAGTTGTAGGGTGTCCCTGGGTGGTTCTGATGGGTAAGTGTATGGCTGCTAATAGAAAGGCTAGTGAATAGAGGACACCCAGAGACCCCTTGGAAGAAAGGCCTGGTGGTCTGCTTCCCATAGGCCACCACTTTGAGACCCTGTAGAGCGTAGCTCCACTCTGGGACACAAGGGGGCGTGATGAGTTGAAATCAGTTTGATGGCAACTTGTTTGCTTGTTGAAAAGAATATATATTTATGTGTCATACATAAAACATTTGAATTTCATCTTTAAAGCTGATGAAATTTTTATGTCAAAGTATTTACTATGTCTTTTTTCATCAACAAAAAGTTTCTGTTGTAAACAAGTGGTGTTTATTTCCTCTATTCCTATGGGGGCAAGACGGGGGGAAGGGTACTTTTAATCCCTTGCCAGGATTTTACTTTTTAAAGTTGGTAAGTTGTTTTGTTGTGGTGTTTTTTTTTTTTTAATTTTTGGGAAAAGACCTGAAAAAATGGGGACTTTACGACACAGACCTTATGTGAGCGTTTGTATTGTATAGAATGAAAGTCAGTGCATTTTGGAATTTCTCAGGAGCACTGCAAAAGAAAAAAACAAACCTTCAAATAAAAGTGATATACGAAAAAAAATAATATATATATAAGTTGCCAATTTCTTCATCCACAATAAAAAAATTTTAGCAAAACAAATTAAATACAGATAATATATATTATATAGTATCTATTATCTATTATCTATTATCTATTATCTATTATATATTTATTTGTGTTTACAAATATGTGTATGTCACATGTGTACATATTTCTAGATATGTATGTATACATGTATATGTGGTTTATTTTTTCTTTTAGTGTTAGGTTGTATTGCCAAAGACTTGCCCTTTTCTTGTATTATTTAGACATCTTTCCATATCAAAACATATGAACCTGCTTACGTCTATTAAACAACTACATGGTGGTCCATGTGTTACAATGGTAAATAATCGTCCTCTATTGACGCAGGTTTAGTTGTGTCCAGTTTCTTGCTGTTATCAACAGCGCTTGTGTACATAGCCATGTGTATTTACAAGTGAGTAGTTCTTGGATATCGATTCCTTCATGGGAAAGGCCTATGAGTGCCAGCCTACTGATAGGATAGATGCAGCTCGGAGCTGGAGGCCCTTGCTGGTATTTAGCCTTTGTACCGCACCCCTTCCCCTTCTAGGTGATGGTAACGAGGCCATCGGAGCCCTGATCCAGAACTACATCCGAGAAATCGAGGAGCTGCGGTGAGCGCACCTCTGCAGCCTTGGGCACTGGGGTCTGGGGGCCTCTTGGCCCTGGGTGGGGATGGCGCCGTCTCACCTGGCACTCTCACTCACCCTTTCCTTGCAGGACGAAGCTCCTGGAGAGTGAGGCCATGAACGAATCGCTCCGCCGCAACCTCTCACGGGCCTCAGCTCGCAGCCCCTACTCCCTGGGCTCATCTCCCGCTGCCCCGAACTTCGGGGGCAGCCCGGCCAGCTCCATGGAGGATGCCACCGAGGTGATCCGCAAGGCCAAGCAGGACCTGGAGCGGCTGAAGAAGAAGGAGAGCCGGCAGAGGAGAAAGAGGTGAGTGGGGAGCTGACTCTGGCCCCTGGAGGACTGTGTTTCAGACATCCACCCCAGAGTCCCAGCCCTGGGAGCTCCACTCGTACTGCTTCAAAGTTCACTTTGCTTATAAGCCTGTGAGCAGAGGCCACTCAACCCTCTCCAGTGTCCTCCTCTCCCTCAGGAGAGCAAGGATGAGGACTCACACCAAAAATCCCTCAGTGCTGTCACGCAGATCGGGACTCATAATAATCCTGCAGGGCAGAGCAGAACTAGGGTTTCTTTTTATGTAAGATACGATCTTATTCAGTGTTTAAGAACTAGGTTTTCTGAGGCTGTAAATCATTGCAAGAGTAGATTCCTTATTCCTCTTTTGTGGAGCGACTGGTGCACTCAAACCACTAACCAAAATGACCTTTTTGGTGTGAGTTTAATGAAAGTTTACAAAAAAGGTTGGATTTTCATTCATTTATTGTTACACATTTCTCCCCACCCCCACCCCAGTTTGCAACCAAAATTTTTCACCTACTGCACCACTAGGCTCATGGATAGGGACTAAGTAGAGTTAATTCTGGGCTGGAGCCTGGAGAGAAGCTAGATTGCCTACAGAGCAGGAGGCCAGCCCTGTTACCATCCTGACTGGCCAGGAATGCACCTTTCCCCCCACACCTGCCACTCCTTTACCTCCTAATTCATCCTACTCTTCGCCCCATGGACAGCCCAGAGAAGGACGCCTTCAAAAAGAGGGCGAAACTCCAAGAGGAAAATGGCGAGGAGACCGAGAATGAGGCTGAGGAGGTGAGAGGCCAACTCTGTCCTCTTGGGGGTCAGTTTACCTGTACCATGTGGGGGAGGGAGTGTGACTCTGCACCCAGTTCATCTGTGAGCTTCCTGCAAGCGCTGGCTGATTGCCATGTGATCCCATTCTTCATCCCAAACGAATGAGGCAGGCTTGGAAGCTCTTCTGGGCCCTGGGATGAGGGGCTCGTTCAGAAAAGTAAAGTGAGCAGAGGGGCTTCTGCCTGACCCCCTGTCTGCCTCCTTACACACCTGAGGTGGTGTGTCTAGCCACACCTGAGCTCTGGGCTCCCCTCCCCTGACACTGTGCCGGCCGGTGTGAGGGACCCCCAGCCCACCTGTAACAGTGCTTGGTGCCCAGGAGGAGGAAGAGCGGGACGAAAGCGGCTGTGAGGAGGAGGAAGGGCGAGAGGATGAAGACGAGGACTCGGGCAGTGAGGAGAGCCTTGTGGACTCGGACTCGGACCCTGAGGAGAAGGGTGTGTGGGGACTAGACTGGAGGCCAGGAAGAGGGTGGGGGGAATGTGACCCCAGGTGCGCGGTGCCCACGGTGTGGTTGCTGGGAAGTGCTGGACACAGAGTAAACTCTCAGGGAGACCGGCTGAGCCCCAGGTCTGAGCCTGGAGCCAGGACCTCTGGAGTGAGCTCACGTCCTACTTGAATTCTCAAATACGGTCTTCATGCCAGGCCCAAGACTTCCAGACGTGCTACCAATAACAATAACGACACAGATAGTCATGGCAGCAGGCACCAACCAAGGGCTCTTTATAAGCCAGATGCTGTGCTGAGCTTACCCGTGGATGTCTTCTTTCAGTCCTATGCAGTGTGTTAGGAGTTTTCCCTGTATTCCCACTGAAGAACAAGCTCAGAGGTTTGATCACTTTGCCCAGTTTGTTAGATGGTGTAAGTCTCAGTCTGGCCAGGGCTCAGGCTCGTTCCTCCACATGGGAACACCAGCTCCTCCAGCTCTGCCTGCTGCCGTCTTCTGACCTAGTCTGTGAGGATCTGCAGCCCTCTCACCCTGCCACACCCACGCGGGGTCTGAAATCATCTATGACAGGGAGATGTAGGCCTCTGGAGCTTCATAGGGACTCTAGACCCTCATCCCACCCCAGGCCCGCCCCTGCATTTCTCGGATTCAGTAGGAGAAGGAAGGATGACTAAATTCCCATCCCCAAGCACTAGCCTAACATTTCTGGGCTGTTCCTTAGTCTGCTTCTGCCTTTGAAAACACTCCACCCAACATGTACCTTGGTCACTCACCAGCCCTGGGTGGCCAAGACCTGGTGAATCTGCCCCCACCTCTCTCCTTGCCCTCCTCTGCTGGGCTGAGCCTGTCTCTGCCCCTACAGAGGTGAACTTCCAGGCGGACCTGGCCGACCTGACATGCGAAATCGAGATCAAGCAGAAGCTGATTGACGAGCTGGAGAACAGCCAGCGGCGGCTGCAGACTCTCAAGCACCAGTATGAGGAGAAACTGATCCTGCTGCAGAACAAGATCCGAGACACGCAGCTGGAACGGGACCGCGTGCTGCAGAACCTCAGTGAGGCCGCCCCGCTGCCCTTGGGCCCCTCACCTCACCCCTGCACTTAGCACCAGCCAGCACTTAGCGCCTTTGGGGTTTGCCTGATCTTCTTCAGCAAAGCTTCGTACATTTAACCATAATTCGAATGCTGCATTTGAAAGTCATACTTTTTATGCTATCATGTTCCATGTTATATCCTTTATACGCCTTGGCTGGGAACCTGACACCCCTTGGCAGCTCTCCTACCTCCTATTCTTTGCAGCTTCTCCTTTGGATCTGTTTACAAACCTCTTTCTCTCGTCTCAGCTTTCCTTCCCGCTCTTCTGCTCATTCATCTGATCATTCATTCATTCACCAGAATTTATGGAATACGTTTTAAAGACCAGACATTCTTCTAGGCACTAGATAGAGATACTGCATTGAATGGAATCTCTGCCCTAACGGACTTTCGTATCCTAGTGGGAAGAGACAGAAAAAATAAATAGCCAAAGAGTGTAGCATGTCAGATGATTACTGTTAACAGAAGGTGAAGCATGGGAGGGAGATAGGAAGTACAGGGTGTTGGGTTGATGTTTTTAAAACAATGGTCCAGGTCTGCTTCATCCAGGAAGTATCATTTGAGCAATAACTTGAGGAGGAGAGTGTTTCAGGGGAAGAGCATTGCAGGAAAGAGAATGGAAATTTCTGATGTCCTTTCTGCACCCAGCATGATGGAGAAGTGACTTTGGGCACAGGGAGGGGACAGTCAGTAAGAGCAGGGACAGTAGCATAAGGTGAGGTCAGAGAGGAAATGTGGGACCAGGTCACATCAGGCATAAGGACAGTGCTTCATACTCTAAGGCAGATGGGGAGGAAGTAAAGTTATGAAGGAGAAACATGGTCTGAATTTTAAAATGATCACTTTGGCCCCTGTGTCAGGGAACGGAAGTGAAGGCTGGAGACCAGTTAGGAATCTGTTCTAGGGAGATCCCCAGGGAAGGAGCACTTGGACAGGAGGTGGTGAGAAGTGGTCAGTTTCCAAGTATGTTGCAGGTCGAGTGAACATATTGATTGGCCAGATGAGAGATATGAGGGAGAGGGATGTCACAGATGGAACGCTCTAGCATTTACTCAGGTGGGAGAGTGAGGGGTGGAGTTTGGGAGTTTGCTTTTGCATTTGTTGTTTTGGATTCAAGTGATGTCCATGGGGCAGTATCTAGTGGGCAGTTCAGGGGAGGGGCCCAGGGTGGAGGGCGAGCTCACTCCTTCTGTCTTCCCATGTCACTCTGTCTTCCCTGGCTAACTCTTCCCTTCCCCCCCACCCCCGACCTCATCTTTCTACCACACTGATGCCTGTCAGAACCAGTGTGAGTGGTTCTCGAGCAACCTTTAGGCACAGGACTCTCATAGGAGTTGGTGACTGGGCACTCTTGAGACCCTAATTCTAGTAGAATGTTGCATCAGGAAGGGACCTTGGGAATCATCTAGGCTGACTCTCTTGTTTTAATGAAGAAACTGAGACTAAGAGTGGGGTGTGGCCTGCCCAGGGTCCTGCAGTGAGACTCCATCCCAGGTCCGTGGCTCCTAGCCTGAGCCTAGGCCAGATGGGAATGGTTGGGGACATGACAGCACAGACAGCCCCTCTTGCTTCCCGCAGGCACCATGGAGTGCTACACGGAGGAGAAGGCCAACAAAATCAAGGCAGATTATGAGAAGAGACTGCGGGAGATGAACCGTGACTTGCAGAAGCTACAGGCTGCACAGAAGGAGCACGCGAGGTTGCTCAAGAACCAGTCTCGCTATGAGAGGGAGCTGAAGAAGCTCCAGGCTGAGGTGGCCGAGATGAAGAAGGCCAAGGTAGGAGCCTCAGGTGTGAGTGGCATGCATTGTCTTCTTAGAATCTACTTATATCCGTGTGAAAAGTGATCAGCGGTGCCAAGTGTCTTGGACAGTGTCCTCTTAGGCAGGTGCATTGTCCAGGATGATGCCACCTTTCAGTATCTGGGCCAGTGTGCAGGGTGACAGGGTGCATAGCAGGGCACAGGCCAGGCAGCTCTGGCTCCATAGGGACCCTGCTTAGCGCTGCCCATATGCGGGGAAGTTCTACCGTAGTTGCCTCCACTCTGCAGCCTTGCCTGTTAGAGACCTTGTGCACAGTGGGACCATTGTGAGCTGCAAAGTTTTCACTGGCTGGTTTTCCCTGTAGATTGCCAGACTTTTCTTCCTTTTGTGATCTGGAAACACCACTGAAACCTGTTTAGCAGCACAGAGCATACTAACCTCCACAGACAGGTTGAGAACTGAACCTGAACTCTCCTCATAGAAGAGAAGGACTCTGCCACTGAATAGCCATTGTTCCTCTAATTTTGCTTAAAGTACTACTACAGCTATTAAGTACAACAATGTCTATGCCTGCTACTACTAATTACCATTGTTTGAACTGTGACCAGGCTCCAAACCCAGGGCTTCAAGTTAGCTCCAGTTTTCCTCCTGTGCAGTGACTAGTGGATTTAAACAGCCTGCCTTATGGTTAGGCGACCAACATGTAAAGCACAGTGCTTCCAGGTTACCAGTTGTGGTTGTGTGCCGTGGAGTCGGAAGTGATCCATAGCCAACCTTCCAGCAGGTTTCTCAGAGGCAGTAAATCTTCCATGGAGCAGCTGCTGGACTCGAACAGCAAGCCTTTGGGATTGCAGCACAGCTTCTTAGCACCAGAGCTCCCTATGACCAGACCCTCAAAAATTTCAAATCAAACTCATTGCTGTCAACTTCAGAACCAATTCACAGCTGACCCTCCAGCAGGTTTCAGGGAGGCTGTAAATGACACAGGAAAAGATTGCCCATCACTCTCCCTTCTCCCTCGGTGGATTCGAACCAGAGAGGCACAGCTTTTGGGTTAACAATGCAATTCCCTCTGGACTCCCACCTCCCCAGCTCCATCTGTCCTCATGCTATGCATGCGAAAGTGAAGCCCAGAGAAGTTCATTCTGGCTGTCGAAAGGCAGGGCTGGGGTTTGGACTCAGCTCTCTTGTCTCCCAAGCCCATGTGTTCTTTGTAACGCTGTACCTTCCTGCTCAGAATCCTTTGCCCTCTGAGACCTGGGTTCTTGGAGTGTTGGAGTTCCTGCCTGGGACTCCACAGTCTCATTCACACTTCATATCCTCCCTCCAGTCCTGGTCTTCCCCCTGGTCCTGCATCCCTGCCCTGCCCCTCAGTCCCTCGTGCTTTCCACAGCCCATGGCCAGGCAGGACCCTAGCATAGCCCAGCACCCGTGACAATTCAGCAAGTTGTGGTGGATGAGACTTCATGGACACCTGAAGGGGAACCTGCCAGTAAATGGGGATGGAAGAACAGTGGCATGAATCCCAGGAACGTCAGGAACCCCAGTGCCGACTTAGCACATCAGTGAAGTACTGACTTTGCTGCTGTGCAAAGAAAGGAGGCATTGTACTGATGATGACCGAGGAAAGTCCTCAGAGGAGGTAGAAGCTGCATCACTTTAGGAGGCTCTAACCCCAAGCCTAGACCTGCCTCACAGGTCTCGGGGCTCCATCAGCATGATGGGATGACAAAATGCCCTGCCTTGCTGTGATTAGATCAGCTTGGTGTAGGCTGGCAACAAAGAGCCGTCTCCTTCCTCTCCTTCTGCTTCAGTGCCTCCATCCAGTGGGGTGGTGTTGATTCAGAGGATGGCCAAGAAGTTCAATGGACTTGAAACTCTTCTGCCCCCTGGTGGTGCAGAAGGGAGGGACCAGTGGTCCTTCATTCCTCAAGTGAGCATTGAGCCCATCTCTGGGCTTGTGGTCCCTGCAGGCAATCCTGGAGCAGTTCTGTGTGGTAGTACCTGTGTCCACATTTTTTCAGCAGAGAACCCCAAGAGAACCCTCGTGGCATTGTAACTCTGGTGCCTAGAGAGATGATAGAACACCAGGATGTGTTTAAAGGACAGGAAATCTATGCGTGTGCCTCTGCATCACCTTCAGGACTGCATGGATTTCTTCTACCAGGAGCCTAGCTTTGCCCTATGACTGCACTTGTGACCTCAGGGCTAGCGATAGACAAGAACATCCCTGCACCATCCAGAGGTGCAGCAAGATTCACCTCTAGCTGTGAGCCCCATGCTGCAAATCTTTCCACCGCTGTAGCCCCTAGGGACTTTCGGGTTGGGGGACAGTGCCTTTTCCTTCACAGCTCTGCAGAGCAATGCTGGTCTCATGGATTCTAGATCATTTCAACATCGTCATGCGCCTGGAATGTACTCACACATTCTGAAATCTTCACCTCTGTGTGACTTCCACTGAGTTCAACCTCAAGGGAGGAACCTCTCTCGTGATCTAATGGGCGTTGGGTTAGGAACAGAGGGAATCTCTGATTCCAGAAGATATGACATCTAACCTTTCCAAGTAGCTCGCTGTGTCCTCAGCCTGGTGGCATAGAAGGTTCAGTGTTGGGAGCAACACTTGGTTAGCCATTCAAGCCCACCTGCCTCTCTGTGTTAAGATTTACAGCCTCAGAAATTCAATGAAAGGTCACCATGAATTAACTTAAGGCAGTAGAATTAGTTGCATTTTGTTGGTTTGTTTGCCTGCTGTCCTAGCATTGATCAAGTCTAGTTTCAACCAAGGCTTTTTGACTTAGTCAGTAGTCACCATCCTTTTGGGAAGATTCATCCCAGATCCCAAAGGCCCAATAGTAAGCCCTCCTCTCAGTCAAGAGCAGGTGTCAATCTGTATTCCAGTGAATGGAATTCTTCCTCTGAGAGAGGGAGAGGCCTACCTCGCCAACTGGCCTTCTGTATCCGTCTTGTGCCATCACCTTTCCTGACGTCCTCGGAGCAAAGTAAAGGTCATCCCTTATAACTCTTATGGCCCTGCCACTTGGAAGGTGTCTGAAGCCCTGAGTTCCCACCTTCTCATTCTGTGGGGATGAGGAATGAGGTGAAAGGGTGGAACTTCCTGTGGTTGGTGATGCAGCCTGGCCCCAGGAGTGTGTGTCCCCAGCATGTCAGGTCATCTCTGCCCACACTCATGGCATCCTCTGGCTTTTCCCCAGACCCAGAGGTCTTCAGGTTTCTGGGCTCTCTCTGCTTATCCCTCTTGCCCTGAAATTCCCCGGGCTGTGGGAGGAGCTGGCTTTATGGGACAAAATGGCTTGAGCTCAGATTCTAGCCACCCAGTATCTCAGGTGTGTGACTTTGGAGAAGGCATTTTTCTCTGGAGCTTATTTCCTCACTTAGAAAGCAGGAATGATAATACCATTCTCACAGTGTCACAAGGGCGGCCTGGCACATAGTAAGCTCTCAGCCTGTGATGATGGCTTTGATTCTTGCCACGTGATTGTAAAATCAGCTCTGCCTTACCTCAGCTCTATAAAAAGCTCAGGCTGTCAGTGGGAGAGAGGCAGGTGGCCCATCCTGGTGAGGTTACTTGTCTCCAGCAACCCAGGCTTGTCTTTGAAAGACCAGACCCGAGACCAAGGACCTTGATGAGGCCCACCAGGGGCAGTGCTACTGGGGGCAGTGGGGACTAGAATTAGACTTTGTAGGGAAAGGCTGCATTGCTAGGCGTAAGGCCACCTCTCGTAGCAGGTGGTTCAGGTGGTGGGGCAGCCACCAATTCATGTCGAGTGTGGGGGCACAGACCTTGACTTGTCCTCTAAGCTCCAAGTAGGTGCTAGCTGGCAGCTCCCACCGCTGTCGGACCCTCTCCAAGCTGACCATTTCCTGAAGGGTGTAGCCCCCCCCCCCGCGCCCAGCCCCCACCTCACTGCCCTCTGCCGTCCCAGGTGGCCCTGATGAAGCAGATGCGTGAGGAACAGCAGCGGCGACGGCTGGTGGAGACCAAGAGGAACAGGGAGATCGCTCAGCTCAAGAAGGAGCAGCGGCGGCAGGAGGTGAGGGCGACCCCGGGAGCCCCCAGCCCTCTGTCCTCTCACTGTGTACCCCTCCTGGCCACACAGGTCCCACACCTGCTGTCTTAGGTCGCAGTGGTCCCACTTGGCACAGCCTAGCCGAGAAGCGCAGGGCCCCTGAGCATTACTGGCCCGGTCTCTGCGTTGCCCAGGCTGCAGCCCTGAACAGAGGCAGAAGCTTGCACTAGCCCACCAGCAAGGCAGAGTCAGAAATGTCAGCCTGAAATGTCAACTCATGGGGCTGAGCCCTCTGACCACGGTCCCTAGCTCATGGGTGGGGAGCTGAGGCCGAAGGCCTGCCTTTGCAGAAGACAGCAGCTGCACATTGACCTCTGGGGACGGTAGAGAAAGGAAGAAGCCAAACTCTGGGTCCTGCTAGTGAGCTTCGGCTGTTTGAGGAGGGCTCTGACACCCAGGCTCTCACCTGCGGAGTTGGACAGGCTGCCTTACCAACAAAGCTGCAGGGGCTTTCCTGGACTTTGCGTGGATCCTACCCCTCTTGTCTTACCCACAGTTTCAGATCCGGGCTCTGGAGTCCCAGAAGCGGCAACAGGAAATAGTCTTAAGGAGGAAGACCCAGGAGGTGAGCTCGTGATGGCGGCGTGGATGCAGGGCGGGCAGCTCAGCTGTGCTCCCATCCTCTCTTCCAAAGCCTCTCACTTCTGGTCAGGGAAAGGGGGGTCCATGCCAGTCAGAGCCAGGAGGGAGCGGGGAACCAGCCAGTCAGAGCCAGGAGGGAGCGGGGGACCAGTCTGCAAGCTCTGTTCATGGTCCTGGCCCTCCCTTCACTCACTCAACAAACACAGTCCATCTCAGGCCTGCTCGGGAGGACCTTTCTCAACAAAGAGATCAGAGGCCAGAGAGGCCACAAGCTTCTTCCCCAAATGGCCTAAGCTGTTAATAAGAAGAAACAAAGCAGAAATCTCTTTCATGTTCATTTCACATCACATAGTCCTCTTTGGCAGCCGCGGGCCCAAGCCAGGACAAAGCCGCCTCTGTATGCTCTGCTTGCTGTCCCCAGCCTGGACCTCTGCTGGACCCAGTCTCACCTGCTCCCTCTGTTCTTGGCCCCCAGGTTTCTGCACTGAGGCGCCTGGCAAAACCCATGTCTGAGCGGGTGGCAGGGCGGGCAGGACTGAAGCCGCCCATGCTGGACTCGGGGGCAGAGGTGTCGGCCAGCACGACATCGTCTGAAGCTGAGTCGGGGGCCCGCTCCGTCTCCAGCATCGTGCGCCAGTGGAACCGCAAGATCAACCACTTCCTGGGGGACCACCCCTCGCCTGCGGTAAACGGCACGCGCCCTGCCAGGTAAGGGGACTGATGGGTAGGGACGGTGGCTTGTGTGGGTCAGCTTAGAGGGTAGGGATGTGGGCACAGTGAGGCAGAGAGAAGCTCACGCCCTGTGAGGGTCCCTGTGACTGTCAGCGCTGAGCAGGGGGACACCAGGGGGCTGCAGAAGCTGAGTATTGGTCCTGCCCAATCCTCTATGTCTCTGCCTCCCCAGAAAGAAGTTCCAGAAGAAGGGGGCCAGCCAGAGCTTCAGCAAGGCAGCGAGGCTCAAGTGGCAGTCCCTGGAGCGGCGGATCATCGACATTGTCATGCAGAGGATGACCATCGTCAACCTGGAGGCCGACATGGAGCGGCTCATCAAGGTGGGCACCGCCTCCCCACCATGCTGTCCGCTCTGACCTCCCTGTCTCCGCACACCTCACACTGTCTGCAGGGACGCACATGGGGCGGGAGCTGTGGTCAGGCGGCTCCGACGGCTCCCTGATGCCTCTCCTTCATCCCCGGCTCAGAAAAGGGAGGAGCTGTTCCTCCTGCAGGAGGCGCTGCGGAGGAAGCGGGAGCGGCTGCAGGCTGAGAGTCCGGAGGAGGAGAAGGGGCTGCAGGAGCTGGCCGAGGAGATTGAGGTGCTGGCAGCCAACATCGACTACATCAACGACAGCATCACTGACTGTCAGGCCACCATAGTGCAGCTAGAGGAGACCAAGGTGCCTGCAGCACGGGGTTGGCGTGAGCCGGGTGTGGGAGAGGTACGCAGGCAGGGGCAGCCCTGGGTGACAGGGTCTGTACCTCCTGGTCCTAGGAGGAGCTGGACTCCACGGACACGTCGGTGGTCATCAGCTCCTGCTCGCTGGCCGAAGCCCGCCTCCTGCTGGACAACTTCCTCAAGGCGTCTATTGACAAGGTGTGGTGGGTCAGCCTGGCCACTTTGTGGGCACAGACTCTTCCCTTTACCCTAGTGGTGATGCTCACAGACTTGGCCTGTCTTGACCCACGTCACTTACAGGCCAGGGCAAGTTGCTTTGCCTCACAGCCTCTGATTCAGCACACCCACAAAGCTAGCATGATGCCATACCTAGCTGGCAGTGTGTTGCGTGACTTTAACAAGATGATGTGGTCAAGGAGCTTGGCACGGTGCCTGGCACACAGAGGAGGCTAATAGGGGTCACGCTGTGCCTCTGGCCCAGGGCATCTCCAGCAGGGCTGGGCTTGCGTTTGTTGGAAGTGGAAGACTTGTACTAGAACCATCAGGTGCCTCTCCCTCCCCCTATAGAGAGAGCTGCCACTTTCCCTCCTGGACTGGTGTGTCATGACGCAGGTCACACACACACACACACACACACACACACACACACACACACACAGAGTGTAACTGTGGAAAGAGGGGGTGGGGAAACGGCTCTCTATGACTCCTTGCTTGTCCCCTGAGAGCTGCAGGCTCTGCTCTGCTGTGTCTCAGGAGAATGTGTCCTCAAGTGACCTCCACTAAGCTGTGTAAGTGGAAGATGCTAGAGGGGCTGAGGCTGCATCTCAGGCCAGTGACAGATACAAGGGGCCTGGAAGCTAGAGGGGGGTGGCCCGCAAGGTGCCTTGTGTGAGAGCGTCCACAGCCCCGGGCTGGGAAGGCTAAGCCCAGGCCTTGCTTCCTACCCGCAGGGACTGCAGGTGGCACAGAAGGAGGCCCAGATCCGATTGCTGGAGGGGCGGCTGAGGCAGACAGACATGACGGGCGCCTCCCAGAACCACATGCTCCTGGATGCCCTGCGTGAGAAGGCCGAGGCACACCCTGAGCTACAAGCCCTCATCTACAACGTGCAGCAGGGTACGGGAGTGTAGGCACATTCCTTGAAGCCCCTAGCATTCCTGGGCTCCCGGGCTCCAACTCCAAGGATCCTCACCTCCCTGAATGTTCCCTACCTGGTTCCAGTGGAGGAGATGCAAAAGGTTGGCCATCCCCCTGGCCCCTCCCCCCTCCTGCCTCTCACCCTCCTCCTCTCCCACAGAGAATGGCTACGCAAGCACAGATGAAGAAGTCTCGGAATTCTCCGAGGGGAGGTGAGGGTCCAAGCGGGAAATAAGACGTTGGCTCACTGTGTATGCACCTGGAGCTGGGGTGAGGGGTTGCGTGGTGTCCTGGAGCTCAACCTGGATTTGGGAGCCTGCAAATCGAAGTCCCAGGGTACCAGAGCAAAGGTTGTCATAATTCTGAACTCCTCCTGCTTCTTTCTTAGCTTCTCCCAGTCATTCACCATGAAGGGCTCCACCAGCCATGATGACTTCAAGTTCAAGGTGAGCCATTGGCCCCACGAGAGCATGAACGGGGGATGGAGCCAGGTCCTCATTGTGGCCCCTGACCCAGTACTGTCCCCACTTGGAAGGAGGAGGCAGTAACAGTCTAGCCTGGAACTGGGGAGTCCCCCACCCCATGTGTGTAACTATTACAGCTCTTACCTGAAGCAGATGGGAGATGGAAGAAGGGGTACCAACCTCTGTTTCCGCTCTATCTGATGATATCACTGTAGCAGAAGCTTTGTGTTCAAAACATTCTCTTTCCTCACTCAAGACTCTGATTTGTCACAGACTAAACTTTAGAAAGCTGGTTAGAGTGTTCGTTTTAGCAGCACATATACTGAAAAAAAAAGGAACGATGCAGAGATTAGCATGGCCTTTGTATAAGGATGACGCAAATTCATGACACATTCCATTAAAAAGAAAGTTGGTTAGATGAGAATAAGCTTATTTGAATGAGGGATTGATTAGTAAACTGAACAAAAACGATTTATTAAAGAAGAGAATTGACAACTACAGATGTGGCATTAGGGATGGAACATAGCTTTTGGATAAAATGATGAACTGATGACCAGAAGAGAGGTGAGTCTGGCCATTCTGTGTTTGCACGGATGAAGACACGAGCTCCGGTGGCTCAGTCTGTAGGGAGTTGCTGACCATAAGGCTACACCTCTCTGGTGGTTCTAATCCACCAGCAGCTCCGGCGGACAAAGATGGACGATTTCGCCATATGACTGATGACCTTGGAAACCAGAGAAGGATCAGCTATGAGTCAGCTCTGACTCAAAGTCAGCGAGTTGTGTTGAGTGGAAGGGTAGTGGATCAATATAGTTGCACTGATTCTTCTGGAAAATCTGGAGGTTTTAGCTGGGAGGCACCAGAGACGATCTCTATGTGATGTTTGCCTGTGATGTCTACCTTGGGCCAAGGTGGCATCATTTCTCTCATTTCTCCTTGGCATCTTCTCTGGGGGCTACCCTCTTTGGCAAAACTGGCCCAGCCCAGCCCTTCCTTTCTCAGGGCGAACCCAAGCTGTCTGCCCAAATGAAGGCTGTTTCGGCCGAGTGCCTGGGTCCCCCACTGGACATCTCCACCAAGAACATCACCAAGTCCCTGGCCTCCTTGGTTGAGATAAAAGAAGACGCAGTGGGCTTCTCCATCCGAGACCCCTATTACCGGGACAAGGTCTCCCGCACCATCAGCCTGCCCACCAGAGGCAACACCTTGTAAGCAGAGGGAGCCAGGGACTTGGGGTCTGGGTGGGTGGAGAGTTTTATGTGGACCTCACTAGACCCTTCTCTTCCAGCCCCCGGCAGTCTCGTGGCATGGAGACGTCCCCTCTGACCCGAAGGAAGTCCTATGACCGAGGACAGCCCATTCGGTGAGAGGGTGTTCAGGAGCAGTGCCAAGGTCTCTGATATATGAGTCCTTGAGTAGATCTGCTGGGATGCCCTGCCCTGTCAATCGTCGTGTCATCCTGTGCACTTAACCAGGTCGCCCAAGTCATTCAGCATCTCCCCGGTGTTCCCTCTCCTGCATTGTCTGGAATGGGCTTAGGAAACATAACTCCTATAAGGCACCTGGAACTGCAATGTGCTGACCACGGTTGTGCTCAATGTAGGTGGTTTTGTTGTGACCTGATGCGTTCCCGCCCTGTCTCAGAACTATAGGTCATGGAAAGATTGGCTCTTTTTATGGTCATTTCAAGTGAGAGGAGGGAAGAAGTCCAAAGAGAAAACAGAAATCAATGAAGAGTGGTGGGGACATTCCCATGCTGGCTAGCATGAGAGCGGGCGCCACGGTGCTTCTGAACGTCTTGAGTTGTGTGTTGGGTCATGTAGTCCATGCACTTAATTTCCAAAGCAATTTGGTGGCCTTTTCCACGTCACACAGTAAACAGTGGGGATGCAGGAGCTCAGGGTGGTCTCTTGTTATCTACCTCAAAGGAAGATACAAGGAGTGATGACACTTGCTTGGGATCCCAACCCTCTTTGTTGCTGAAGCTTGCGTGATTTTTGTGGGGAAGTGATGCAGGAACAGCCATGGACTAAGAGAATGTACTTAACTTGTAAGCTGAGGGTTTGGGGCTGGACTCATCCATCTGTCACTTGTCATACTCTGGCAGCTAACATGTTGCTCTGAGGCTAGAAGCTGGACCACTGGTCTATCAAGTACCAGCAGGGTCACTGTGGGTGGTGGACAGGTTTCACCAGAACTTCCAAATGAAGGCAGACTAGGAAGTCCTGTCCGTCTTCTTCCACAGAGTAGCCAGTGAAATCACAACAGAATCTTGTCTGCTTTAGTGAGGAGAGATGAGTTCCCTTGGTTGGAAGGCCACAAAACACACAGTGGCCACAACAGTGAACTCAAACATCCCAGCGTCAGCAGTGGTTCACTGTTAAAAGGCTGGAGTGAGCCAGAGCCAGTTGACAGCAGCAAACAACCTGGTACTTCGCACAGAAGGGAGGCTTTAAGCTGAGCTTCATGATGACTTTACAAAACAGGGGAATCTTGGGGAACCAGAAGAGGTACAGTGCATCAAGGCCTTAGAGAAATCAGGATCAACGTCTGTGCACTTCAGTAGACGGTCTTCCCAGGCCGGTGGAACATCAAGGCCTTGGACTGTTTGGTGGCCCGGGTCACAGCACCCATATGTGGTGCACGGTCTACTTCCAGACACAGTCCAGGAGACCCCTTGAGGACAGTGGATTCCAGGATTGTTGCCCAGCAGGCCCTGCCCCAAGGGGCCTTACAGCTGAGATGGAGGCTAGTGCTAGAAGCACAGCCCCAGTGTGGGCCTGTGGACAGGGATGTAGTCACTAACAGATGCTGCCCTCTGTCCCGACTCCCCAGGTCCACAGATGTGGGATTCACGCCCCCCTCGTCCCCTCCCACTAGGCCCCGCAATGACCGCAACGTCTTCTCTCGTCTCACCAGTAATCAGAGCCAGGGATCGGCGCTGGACAAGTAAGAGACAGGGCTTGAGGCGAGTGGGGGAGGGTGAGGACGTGGGCAGACAGCCTGTGGTCTGGTCCTTCCTGGAGGCGGGGTGGGCAGACAGATAGATAGCAGCCATGGTGTTCGGGCCCTTCTGCGCATTGAAGCCTGACACCCCTTGCCTGGCCTTTTCTGTATGAACTGTAGTCTCTTCCATCCTGTCCCTCACCCCTGTGCATGCTGGGACCCCAGGAGAGGACAAGAAGGGAGTCAGGGTTTAGGGACAGGGCAGATGGGAGTTGATGGCTTTGCAGATTCCTCACAGAAGGACCTCTCCTAGGATTGTCCCTCCGCTGAGTCATTGGGGTTTCTGAAGCCGCTTCCTTTAGCTCATCCTGCCTCCTCCCCACCACCAGTGCTTCAGACAGACCTAACAGGGCTTTTGTGAATGGTCCCAGCAGAGAGAGTGCAAGACTGCTGTCACCTGGCAGGTAGAACAGCTGTTTGTGGCTCATGTCACAAAACTACAATTACACACAGTCCAGCTTCTCTCAACAGCAGTCCCTACATTCAGCCAGAATGATAGAATCAGCCATGAAGAATGAGCACTTTCTTTGTTTTGCTCCTGAGATGAGGCCATAACAAGGCAGTGAGGTGCCCAAGGACTTTTCCTCAGAAAGTGACACATTTGGGCCAGAACCTGGACTTCCAGCTCTGCCAGCATTGTTTTTCTGCAGTGGGAAAGTGGGGGAGTCTACCTCTCATGACGCCCTTTTGATGTTCCCCAAATGAATGAGTGTTCCCTGGCCTCATGGGGACCTCTGCATTGAGTGATGCCTTTCTTGGGAGAGCCCAAGAAGACTTCCTAAAAGCTTTTCTGCCCGTGGGGTGGTGCTGCTGTGTCCTTCAGGGGAACCTCAGGCTGGAAATTGCCTCTCCTGTCTACAATTGGTGCCTGACATCAACCCCTTTTCCTTCCTCATGAGAAAATTTCTGTCTGGATCACAGTAATGCTCAGTGAATGCTGAGCTGGGAGGCGGTCAGAGCTTAGCAGAGCAATCTCTCTTCCTCCCAAACCTGCTTCAGCTCTGAAGCCCATGGCAGGATGGAACCAGGTTCAGCCCACCTCCACTCAGGGTGTCCTGCATTTGCCATTATGAGGTTGCTTTGCAGAAGGACTGGGTAGGACTTTGATAGTCTTGCAAAGATACTGCACTGCACGTGCCATGCGATGGAACGTGAGGGCCTCGGGCCTGTCCAGCAGCCCAGGTCATGCAGCCTGTGCCTGGTGCAGAGCCAGCTTCTAGGCAGTTGCAGGAGCTGCCTGGCAAACATAAGGACACCCGTTGGACAAAGCCAGCTCCAGCGGGAGGCAGGTGCAGGCATGGCTTCATTGGGCCTCAGGCAGATCTGAGCCTTGCAGGCTTGGGGCAAGAGCCTGGCTTATGCAATGAGACAGCCAGAGAGCTTGGAACCAGCAAACTGCCCAGGAACTGTCTCCCCAGAACCTGGGGCTTGCGTGCCCCTGTTTCCCACGGCCCCCTCCTCACTTCTATCCTGTTAGCTGAGGGACGCCCCCTAGTGGCCCTCTCCAGGAGGAGTCTCCCAGCTCCCAGGCCAGCCTGTCCCCACCTCCTTCCTGCTCTCCTTAGCGCCCTGTTCCTCCACCTCACTCGCTGCCCTTGAAGACAATAACCTTGTCCTCTGACCTTCGATGCTGCTGCCGCCTCTGCCGTCCCTGTGTGTGTGTTCCTCCCTCCCCCTAATCCAGCTAATTTTCTGCCCTTCCCAGGTCTGATGACAGCGACTCCTCTTTGTCGGAGGTCCTGAGGTACACACAGAATGTCTCTCGTGTTTGGTCCCCCACCTCTCACTCTCGTATCGATCTTCGGCCTCTCGCCACACTCCCTCCCCTCGCCTGCACACCGTCTCCTCAGCATGCTGCCCTTGCCCTCTCCTCCGCTCTCCTGAGACCTGTTCCTGCCCCTGGTTCCTCTTTCTCAGGGTCGCCGCATGGCCTCTCACTGCCAGGTCCGGCTGGAGCTGGGGGGCTTGGAGAGGGATGTGCAGTTGCTTGACGCAGGCCCTGTTCTCACCTCCCTGGTCATTTGGATTGGGAGGGGTGCAATATGGGAAGCAGGGGTGGGCTGAACTGAGCCGTGCTGAGGGAGAAGAGACCTGGACAAAGGGCTGGGGTCTGTCATGAACCTCTGGGTTGCTGTTCATCCGAGGGGCTTCTGTGGCAGTGCTCAGGATCCTTGTGCCATGCTCCAGTAGTACCACTAAGGGGAGCGCCCAGACATGAGTGCTCCCAGTTGGCATCTGTTAGCACGCAGGTGTGCAGGCATCTCTCTGCGCCCCACACACCAGCTTGCAGCACGACCAGCACAGATGCCTTCCCGTATACTGTCCATGGCAGTCTTAGGCCTCTTCCCAGATACAGGGCTGGAACTAGCCAATGTTGGAACAAGGACCCATAGTCTGTAGTGTATCCAACACCTAGCTGGCTGCTGGCGTGTCTGACCACCACCTTTATGCTGTCTCATGGGGGACCTAGCTGAACCCTTGGGGCTGCATGTAACCCTGTAAGCCAGAGCTGATCTTCTCAACACTCCTTCAGCCACAGCATCAATGTCAGAAGCAATCCTTTCTTTCTTTCTTTTTTTTTTTTCAATCCTTTCTTTGAACAAGGCCTGCAACATGCTTTTCATCCTGCTCATAATCCAATCAGGGCCTCATCCCGAAAGGCCCCAGCAGAGAAGCAGACTTTATCCAGGTTCTCCCTTGAGCTTGAGGGGAGAAGATATGACTGTAGCCCCATCCTAGAGAGACCCCAAACATCCTTAATCCAAAGCCGTGCTTGGGTCCCTCTTGTTAAATAATGGTTATAGGCCTGCCCATTGCTGACATGCAGGTGCCCATGGACAGAGGAGTAGGTATATGAGTCTCTCTGTTCAGGGGTCCCAACCCCACAGGCAGCACCTGGCTGGAGTGGGGTCCCCAGGGGTGGCAGCCTGCTTTTCCTGTCTCTACCTGAAGCTGCCTGGAGGACCCAGCTAGATGGGAGCCAATTCTAGTGCCCAGTCTGACCAGCAGCTCTGGGTCCAGCAGGCCTCACATAAGAACTCCCCATGGTCAGGGACATGCTGTGTCCAGCACAGGGCTTGGCATCCTGGAAGCTTTTGGTCTGGCCATGGCAGGCTGCAGTCCAGGCAGACCCTCTTGCCCTATGCCGTCTGTGGCAGGCTCTCAAATGCTAGTGGCATTTGGCTGAAGTCTCCTTAGTGTCCAGGTCCCACTCGCCCTGTCCCCCTCACCTGGAGGCCTTGCTCAGCCTGCAGTGGTCTCCCTGGCTGACGGGCACACTCTCTCTCCTCTTTCCCGGGAAGGGGCATCATCACGCCCGTTGGAGGGGTGAAGGGTGCACGGACAGCCCCGCTGCAGTGCGTCTCTGTTGCTGAGGGCCACACCAAGCCCATCCTCTGCCTGGATGCCACTGATGAGCTGCTTTTCACAGGCTCCAAAGGTGAGAAGAGCACAAACGTGGAAGGTTACAGTCCCCCAGAAGGTGTCTTTGCACAACACAGAAGGGCATTTTAAAGACAATGAGGACACAGGGTTCCCTGGGTGGAAAATGTGAGGCCTACTTTCTCGGCTCACTTGTGTCTCTTGCCTCTTGACCGAGTCTTCCTTCCTAACTGACTCTGGGTGCTGTATCCAGCACTCACATCCAAACTGTATCAAGGAATCAAATCAGCTTAGTTGCTCCTTGACCACCCAAACTCCACCACATCCTTCAGCATACATACACCCAGCACCTGCATCTGTAAGCTTGGAAACAAGACTCCACAACATCAAAGGAATGGCTGAGATACAACAGTAACAGCAAGTCTACCCAATTGAAATAACCCAGCCAGACAAGCTTTCAGAAGCAAGAATACTTCTGTAGTTGGCACACAGATAGAAACAAAAGTGCGTCCCTGCACAGGAGGCAGAAATGTGCTTGTCAGTCCTGGTGTGCCTGGCTGCAGACATCAGAGGCATAGAGATTTGATTTTAGCACAGGACACCTTGGGACACTGGTCAGTGTTTGTAGAAAGTTTGATTGAAAAATCTGGTCCTCCATTTGCATATACCCATAAGTAAGCATGTGTGGTCACACTTCTCCCTCAGGCCAGAAGCTCCTCCCTCCCCCAACCCTGACAGTCCCCACAGGAAGGAGCATGCGTGACGTGGCCTCCTAGTAACTGATGGGACCCTCTTCCCTTGACCTCCCTCCCTGTGTCTTGCAGACCGCAGCTGCAAGATGTGGAACTTGGTGACAGGACAGGAGATCGTGGCCCTCAAGGGTCATCCCAACAACGTGGTGTCCATCAAGTACTGCAGCCACTCGGGGCTGGTGTTCTCCGTGTCCACCTCCTACATCAAGGTGTGGGACATCCGGGACTCAGCCAAGTGCATCCGCACCCTCACGTAAGTAAACCACCTCTCGGCAGAGAGTGGCAGCCAGAGTTGGCTGGGTGTGTGCAAAGGCTTTCTTCAAGTCCCAGGGACACACTAGGTACAGCCCAGACACACAAGCCCTGGCATTTGACTGCACTCTAAAGGGCCAAATGAGATCCCTTTGGACTGGGGACCGTGTCTGACCCTGTTCCATTGGCCTCCTGGTCGCCACGTTTATCCTAGCTTCCCATTCCTCCTCTCTGAGCTGTGCTTGGTTTTTGCATCTTGCTTTTTGCCTTTTGCATCTATGGGAGAAGCTTAGTGAACAGGATAAGAATAGCAAGGCTTTGGCCTCCACAGCAGTGGACACCTAAATTGTCCACATAAATGAGCTGCTCTGGTCCTGGTGCCTAGAACCAGATGGGCTAAGGCAGACGCAGGAAACAGAACCTAGGTGAGGGTGCCTGCCCTGCAAAATGAAAACATGCCTCAGCAAAAGTCATGGTAGTCCTAACATTTACATTTTAAGCCATCAATCACTTACTCATTTGACCAGCAAAGAAGTAGATAATGCCAGAGTGGGTATTATCACCTCTTTGGACAGATGAGGGAACCAAGGCCAGGTGTGACTTCCACAAGTTCTAGGTTTAAACCCATCCTTAGTCTTACGTCCTTTCTACCCTAGTGCTCTAGGCTGACTGACAGGGCAGGGACAGGGGTAGAGACTTGTCTTTTGCTGGAGGTAGTGGTTCACTCCCATTGCTCCCATCTTTGTTGGATAAGAAGCTGTGGATCCCATCAGTCAGAGAAACGTCCTCGAAGAAGTGGACTATGAGGGCTGGCCTGAGTGATTATTTTTTTTTTTAGTTGTGATAAAGTGAAATATCAAATCTACCAATTCAACCATTTTTATGTATACAATTTGGTGGCATTAATTACATTTAGATTATATTATCACCACCATTTGTTTCAAATAATTTCATGACTCTCTGGTAAGTAAAAGGCATCCCTGATTGCCTTTAACTCCTGGTAGCCTCCAATACATTTCAGTTTCTATACATTTAACCTGTTCTAGGCATTTCATATAAATAAGGTCATATTTGTCTCTGTGTCTCTGACTTATTTCATTCAGCATAATGTTTTCAAGGGCCATCCGTGTTGTAACACATATCAGAAATTAATTTCTTGTTTTGAATGAGTAGTAAATATCTCACTGTGGATATATGCCACATTTTGTTTACTCGTTCATCTGCTGATGGGCCTTTGAGTTGTTTCCGTTGATTGGCTATCATGAATTACACTGCAGTGAATATTGACGCTTGAGTTCCTGTCTTTAAGTCTTTTGGGTATGTAACTAAGCATCAAATTTTTGCATCATAAGTTTAAGTTTTTGAGGAACTACCAGACTCTTTTCCACAGTAGCTGTACCATTTTACATTCACTTTGGCAATGCATGAGGGTTCCAGTATCTCCACACCTGTTATTATCCATTTCTTCATTGTAGCCATCCTAATGAGGTGAAGTGACACTGCATTGTGGCTTTGATATAGTGCTGTGTTATAACACAGATATCACAAGTGAATAGTTTTAACAGACATTTATTTTCTTCCAGTTCAGGAGACTGGAAGTCCAAATTCAAGGTGGCACGTCTAAGGGAAGGCCCCTCTGACTGTTGGTTCTAGAGGAATGCCCTTAACATTTGTAAGCCCAGCATTCCTTTTAGATGTTTTTGTATCTAGGCCTTCTTGTGTATTCAAGGAGCTTCCTAACACAGCAGTCTGGCTCTAAAAGGATACATTGCTCCTGGGGATTCTTTCCTGGTGATAACTCAGAAAGTACCTTTTATCCCTTTTGTGAGATAAAAGGTATGGTGAGTCACATCATTGATCAACTCCCCAAACTCACAGATCAGGACTGTGGTGGGATTGAGGGGTGCTGCAGTTTAACCTTAACCCTTTTACAGCTATTTGATTTTCAGAGCATGGGAGATTACATAGGTAGCTCTGGTAGCTTAATGGTAAGGAATTGTGCTGCCAATGCAGAGGTATTCGGTTCTAAACCATCAGCTAGCACTCAGGCTACACCCTCTCCAAGACATGTTTATTTGTTCTTTTGCCCATCTATGGGCTGTTCAGTGCTCTTCTCCAATACCACAGCTCAAAGACATCAGTTCTTCTTCTCTCATTTCTACGCATTTTCCAGCTCTCAGATGGGCAGTCTCCTCTCATGGATTGATTACATAGCTTCCACCTTATACATGTATTCTGGCTGTGACACAATCAATCCATAATAGTGACTCTAAAACATATTTTCAAGTGATTTTTAGCAATTTGCAGATCTTCTTTGGTGGAACATCTTTTCAAGTCCTTTTCCATTTATTTTTTTTAATTGAGTAATTTTTCTTTTTGTTAATAAGATGTAGGAGTTCTTTATGTATTCTGATCACTAAACTCTCATCAGATAGTTATGTGATTCCCAAATAATTTCTCCCATTCTGTAGGTTATCTTTCACTTTCTTGATAATGTCCATTAACGTACATTAATCTTTCCTTTTAATGAGCTCCAAATCTGTTTTGTCTTTGTTCCTTGTACATTTGGTGTCCTGTCAAAAAATTCATTGTTCAAAACTAGGATATAAAGCCTTCTCACTGTTGTGCTCTAAGTTTTATGGCGTTAGTTCTTACAATGAGGTCATTGTTCCATTTTAAGTTAGTTTTTACATATGGTGTGAAATTTGAGCCCAGCCTCATTCTTTTATGTGGCAAGCCAGTTGTACCAGAACCATTTGTTGAAAAGATGGTTCTCATTTCATAGATTTGGCATTTGACAACCGACTGACCAAAACTGAGTAAGGGTTTCTTGGGAAGTTAAGGTGAACTTGCTCTGAAAACCCGCTGGAGGGTCAGCTATGGGTTGGTTCTGACTCTGTGGTACACAACAACAACAACAACAATGGTGTCCTAGTGGGTAAGAAGCTGTGCTGCCATCTCAAAGGCAGGTAGTGAGGATCTCCTACCTGCGCCTTGGGAGAAAGATGGGCCGTCTCCTCCAGCGTGATTTACAACCTCGGAAAACCCACTGGAGTGTCTGCTGTGGGTTGGTTCCAGCTCCGTGACTGAGTTGGCCCATTTAGATGGACGATGGTCCTAATCTCTGGCATTCCCTCACTTCCTCCCGGGCAGGTCCTCAGGCCAGGTGATCTCCGGTGACGCCTGTGCAGCCACGTCCACCCGTGCCATCACCAGTGCTCAGGGGGAGCACCAGATCAACCAGATCGCCCTCAGCCCCTCGGGCACCATGCTGTACGCCGCCTCGGGCAACGCTGTCCGCATCTGGGAGCTCAGCAGGTGAGTGAGAGGCCTCCGGACAAGTGCTTAGGTCTCACCTTGGAATGAGCACAGAGGTGGGGAAGACATCAGCTACTCTTCCCTCCTTCCCTCCATGCTGCTGGGTGTGTGCCCCTGCCTCCGAGGCCTCTGTGATAACAGGAAGTTCATGTCTAAATTCCTCATCGTGGGTATTTGTTCGGGGAGGTGAGGAGAACTCTCCACTCAGACCTAGGATTCCCTCTGACCCACAGGCCCCTGGCTGGGCCTCTTTGTTCTGCAGGTTCCAGCCCATCGGCAAGCTTACTGGCCACATCGGCCCTGTGATGTGCCTCACGGTCAGCCAGACATCCAGCCTCCATGACCTCGTGGTGACAGGCTCCAAAGACCACTATGTTAAGGTACCTGACCTTAACTCCCGGCTGGAGTTGGGACTATTCTGTATTTTCTCCTCACTCTCACCATCCTTGCTTTCTGTTGCCCTGGAGAATGCTCATGACGATGGATGAGAGACTTGTGGGAATTTATTCCAAAGAAGTTAGAAAGTGTGTACAGAAAGTTCTGGATTGCAGCATTACTTTGTAAATGAAGAAAATGTTGACAACCTAAACATCTATGGCTAGAATAAGAGTCATATGGACAAACATCCATGGTTCAGAACCAACTCTGTAAAGTCTGTCATGTTGAAAATCCAAGCTACATACAATGATCTGTAAGGAGCTCTGGTGGTGTAGTGCATATTGTTTTGGGTTGCTAAATGATAGGTGGGTGGTTCAAATCCACCAGTGAGTCTGAGGGAAAAAGGAGCAATTTCCCCTCCTTGTGATTTACAGCCTCCAAAGCCCAGAACTGATCTGACAGCAGTGGTGAAAACCCAATGGTTTGGGTTACAGTGGCTTATTTTCATAAATGCACTATTCATATTAGTTATTATTTCTGCATTATGTTAAAGATGTTTTAGTGTATCTGGAAGTGTTTCTTGAATCTTTTTAGAAAGATAGACTACATTCCATAAACTAAAACATTTGATTCAACTGATGTTAGGTATAAACTGTACCTAACTGTTACAGCTACAAACATATTTGATTTAAAGACAGGCATAGAAACAGATTCATTCATAGTCTGATACTGCCTGTGTTAAAATAGTAACTATGAAAGCCAAGCACAAAGTGGGGAAATGGTGCTGTCTTTGCCCTTGAGAGATGGAGAGATGAGTGAAGAGACTCAGAAGCTGGAAACCAGGCCAGCTGCTGTGGAGTCTGTTTGGTGGGTGTCTGAGATTTTCAATGGCTGAATGTTCAAAAGTAGGTGGCCAGCCTTTCATTTCAAGGTGCCTCTAGGCAGACTCGAAGCCCTCAGCTTTTTGTTGGCCCTGAACATGATAACCATTTGCACTACCCAGGGACTCCAGCAACTAGAAAAGAGCACCAAAAAAAGGGGGAACTCTGGGATGATTTGATTATAGAGAAATGTTTTCTTTTTAGTTGAAGTACAAATAATATTTAATTATTAACTCACTTCTGTCCAGTCAGTTTCCACTCATAGCGACCCTCCTTTGGGTTTCTAAGGTCATAAATGTATGAGAAGAAATTGACCATCTTTCTCTAAGCACCTGGTGGATCAGAACTACTGATCTTTCCACAACATGCCACCAGGGTTCTTGACGAAATATATTAAGAATTTAAAAGACTAGATTATACCCAAAGCCCTCCCTCTTTCTCCAGATCTGCTTTGTGTCTTTCTGTGGGGTCTCCCAGTCGTCCGCTGACCCACTGCTTACACTGGAGTGAATCCATCTCCCCACCTCTCCGCAGCCCCAGTCTGCGGGAGAAAGGTTAAGAGCCCAACCTAGTCCCTAGGGAGCAGCAAGTCCCTGGCAGCTCAGAGGTTAAGAGCTTGACTGCTAACCAGAAGGTCAGAGGTTCCAACCTACCAATAGGATAAAAAGACTTGTTGATTATCTAGCATAAAGATTACAGCCTAGAAAACCCTGGGGAGCAGTTTGACTAGCAGTATATGGTCAGAGTTGGAAGCAACTTTACGACACACACAGCAACAACAACAAAGAAGTTGTCCGGACAGCCCTCCGCTCCTGGGGAGGCTCCAGCTCTGGGCCTGCCTGCCACTCTCAAACACAAGATATTCCCAGTAGACTTTCTGACCCTGGCTCTCCCTGCTCCCTGTGGGCCTGCCCTACATGCATCTCCTCCCCACAGATGTTCGAGCTTGGGGAGTGTGTGACGGGCACTGTGAGCCCCACCCACAACTTCGAGCCCCCACACTACGACGGAATCGAGTGTCTTGCCATCCAGGGAGACATCCTGTTCAGTGGCTCCCGAGACAATGGCGTCAAGAAGTGGGACCTGGAGCAGCAGGAGCTCATCCAGGTGGGCCAGGGAGTGAGAAGACATGGGGGAGTAGATTCTTTCCATTCTGCTCCCCAAACCCCACCCGGGCAGAAAGAACTCTGAGTCTTGGTCCCTGCAGCACAGGACAGGTGTTCCCGTCTGCTCTCCAGCCTCCTCCCCCATCTTACCTGCAGCCTCTCTGACTCTACCCTCGATCCCACATTCTGCTCACCTGGGTCTGAATGTGGGGCTAAGTCACAGCGCCTCATCTCAGGGGAGCAATTTGCATTTCAGTCTGACCCTCTGAAGGCTGCAGGGCTCCCCGTCTCTAGGACCTTGAGGCAGAGAGGAAGCCTCATCTCTGAGATCCTGTGATCCCAGACTTGGGGAGCTGCCTGCACAGGGCCTCTGAGGAAGGAGGGGACCCAGGGCGACCCTTCCTGCCACATCTCAATCCTCCCACCTCATCACTGGCCCTGATCCTCCCATAGCAAATCCCAAACGCACACAAGGACTGGGTGTGTGCCCTGGCCTTCGTCCCTGGCCGCCCCATGCTGCTCAGTGCCTGTCGAGCGGGCGTCATCAAGGTCTGGAACGTGGACAACTTCACGCCCATCGGAGAGATCAAGGGCCACGACAGCCCCATCAACGCCATCTGCACCAACAGCAAACACATCTTCACGGCCTCCAGGTGGGTGCTGGGCGAGAGGCCCACCCTTGCTGCCAACCCCTCCCCCTGGGATGGGCCGGGGAGGCTGGGAGGCTCTGGGTTCACAGAACAGATCCCCCAGGACCCTTCTTTCTGTCCCCAGCCACTGGCCAGCATCCCTGAGTGCTCACCTGTGCCGGCACCAGGCTAGGCAGGGGAACAGAGAGCTGCTGGGCCCCAGACCAGGCCATGCCCGCCCTGCACACCTGCGTTCCCACCTCACTGTCTTGACCCCTGTCCAGGTGCCTCTCAGCCCCAGGGCAGCCCCAGCTCTGGCCTCTTGCCAGGGACACCCAGGCCCATTCTCCCAGGGGTGCACCTCGCCTCAGACGGGTCTCTTCTTATTCCTTCTTGTTCAGACCATGTCCCTTCTCTCCCCCACTCCTCCCTTCTCTCCCCCACTCCTCCCATCTCTCCTCTCTGCCTCCCCCCTCTCTCCCACCACAGCGACTGCCGGGTCAAGTTGTGGAATTACGTCCCTGGACTCACCCCCTGCCTTCCACGCCGAGTCCTGGCCATAAAGGGCCGCGCCACCACCCTGCCCTGACACCCCCCCCACCCCCCACCCCTCTCCTTTCTCGCTCTTCCCTTCTTTCCGTTTCCCCCTCTCTCTCTCCACTTCGGTCTGAGCTGCTTCTTAACGGTATGAGATTATTTTACTCCTTTCTGCTCTCCTTTGCATCGTGCCTGGCCCAGAGACTGCCCCCTTTACCTGCCCTCCTGGCGGGGCAGACCCGGGAGAGGGCAGCAGGGAGGACAAGCAGAGGGGAAGCACTCATGTGCCCACAAACCAAAGCAACAGCAAAGAGAAGGCCCAGCGCCGTCCTCTCGGGCGTAGAGGCTCCAAGCCCTCACCCTCTGCTCTCTGCCCCCCTGCCCTGCCCTCCCTCAGAAGTGCTTGCTCTTGCTCCTGCCCCAGCTACAGGTGGGGAGTTGGGGTATCAGGCCTGTTCTTCAGGGGCATCCCGCTGGGCCTGCCTCCGGAGCTGACCAGCCCTCTCTGTCCTCCACCCCAGCGACCTGACGGTGAAGTTCTGGAGTGCACGGCGCTTACCCAGCGGCCTGCCCTAGGAGTGAGGTCCAAGGGTTGCCCCCAGACCCTGGGCCTCTGGCAGCATGGACAACACAGAAGGAAAGCCGTGGCCTGGGCCAGACCAGGACGGGTGTCCTGGGGACAGAGGGCATGGGCCATGAGCATGGCCTCTCTCCTCTTCCTCCTCCTCTTCTCCCTCCTCCTCCCTGACCCTTCCCACAGGATGCTGCTCCTTAGACCCTCCCTGGCCCAGTGGGGAGCTTCTTAGGGAGAGAGAGGTTGGGAGAGAAATTAAGCTGTGAAGCCAAAGGGCATTTTCCCCCTCTCTTTCTCTCCCAGCAGGCCCTCTGCCTCCCTCACTGATTGGCCCCATTTTCTCTGGTTGAGCTGGCCCTGTCCCAACATCCAAGCCTTTGGCTCTGCTCTGAGGGGAAGGTCGGACTGGCATTGGGCGGGGAGGTGAAGTAGCCCCGTCCCTCACGGCGCCCTGCATTGAGCTGGCCTTCCCCTAACACCTCTAGGCCCGGGCAGTCCTCAGGTAACCAGAGAAACAGGTGCAGGCAGCTGTCCCTCATTCCTCAGGCCACCAACACCCACTTTCTTGGGGTCCCGGTTTTCTGATGGGGCCAAGGTAGAGCTGCTAGAAAGATTCCTTTGGGGGAGAAAGTCAGAAATAGGTCAGTTATTTAATTTATTTTTTTTATTTTATTTTGCTGTTGCCTCCTGGAAATGGACTTGAAATTTCTTTCCCATGTTCTTTCCCTCAACTCTAGGGGCTTGGAAGCCCCAAGAACCTCTCATAGCTCCTCTTTGATTTGCTCTGTAGAGGAGGGAAGCACCCCCTCTGACTCTTAGCAGCTTTGGCCTGTCTGTGACATCAGCCCCAGGACCCCCTAGGGCACCCCTGGCCCCTGGCCCGCCTGACGTTTAGTGCCTTCCTCCGTCCATCCTGGGGCCTGGCACCACGCTGGGCAGCCTTACACCAGCCATGCCCACATGTGTCTTCTCACTCTCGGGGTCCCCACCCTCAGCCCAGGGCATCCCCAGTATCAAGTAGAAGCAGCTTGCTAGACTGTGTCTATAGGGAAAGGCTTGGCGTGGCTTCTTGCACCCCACTTCCCAGGCCCTTCTTCCCAGCTCGCCCCCAACAGGTCCGGGGAGCTTTAACCAGATGTTAGCACAGTCGTCCAGCCCACCAGCTGCTTTCTCTCTGGTTATTCAGGAGACACATTTTCAAGCCTTAAAACTGGCCTGGGACAAGGGGGCTCTCTCTCTGTTAGGAGATGAGAGAACTGGGGAGAACTCAAGTCTCTTCCCCCTGAAGCTGTGGACTGACAGGCAAGAATTGTTGTTCAATCAGGATTGAACGCCCCCTGTTGGAGGAACGGTGAATTTCCAAAATGCC